GTGAAAATGTGTCAAAAATATCAAATGTCCTTTTGCATTGTGTACAGGTAAAAAAAAGACCCTCCATAACCCTTAATTGCATTGTTTGCTTGCTATATTCTATTAGACGAAAAAGTGTAATGAATGTGAGTGAGAGATGCGTAAGTGTGTCATGAAAATTCAATATAGTTAAATGGGAAGTGTTGAACCAACTATTGTTAGGCGTTTCTGTTACCTGTTGAGAATAATTAATTTAATCACTGCTCAATCATTATTTTCAATCAATATGTCATGCAGACAAGTCTGCAGAAAAGAACTGACTAAGAACCAGCACTTGTGTACATATGATTGACAAGATCCTTAGTAAAACTGCTGAACAATTCAAGTATAAGTAATCAAAATAGATCCTTTTGTTATAAGCATGACAATGCTGCTGCTTACAATTGCGAGTACATTAGATTATTTGAGGTTCATAAAAAATTAAAAGTACAGACATACACACGCATACGGCCGTTTATTTACAAGATCTTATAGCAAACAAAGGCAATAAAAATCCTAATGGCAACCTACTGTGAGGGTTTCTTTGTATTATTTCTTCCTTATCTGTGGGTACACAAGTGGGTTAATGACTATAAATAAACGCAACAGATATCAGATCAAATTGAACCAGTCGAAATTTCAGATGAGATCAGCTGAATTATGTTTGTGTCATGAGGTTAAGAAGACAACATCCATGGATGTCCAACTACATATGTACATAGTCTGAGATTAAGGAAGACTTAGACGCAGACACTGTAGTAGGGGGCGCATACAAAGTAGTTTTTTTTTGGAATTACAAATCTTTTTTTAGTTAGCAATGTTCATTTGTAGTTTTTGTACGTAAAATTTCACACATTCAACCTTGATGCGATACATATTAGACAATTGATAAACAGAATGACAGACAGACAGACATGTCTAGCATAAGAATTACTAGAGTGTTAGAAGTCTTCCTATTTCTATTTTTGTTATGGGCTGTTTATATGCTTTCTAATATCAAATTGCTTAATTTGATATTTTGTGTAGAATATCGTTTCTTCTGAAATTTATTTTTATTTTGTGTGCATACTTAATATTAACCGTATGTACTCGCATATGAGTATCTGTTTTTGTATTTAATTTAGGGTTTTGCTGATATGAATTTTATATCAGTTTTAAACGCAATTCATTTTTAATTTGTTTACATGAATTAAATATTTTTTATAATTTATATTTATATACATAAAGATTTTAATAAATGTATTTATGTGGAACTAAGACCATAATTAGAATGGTGTCAATTATGCATGTATTGTTTCCACAATTAATTTATTTTCTGTTGGAATTGAGTTTGATTGATTTATGCTGAGTTGGCACTTATATGGACACTGCAACAAATAACACTTCAGCTTTTTGGCGTATAAAAAATAATTTTAATTATTATCAGATACTTTTCTTGACTGTATGTCAATTAAATAAATAAATTTAATCTCTATATCCAAACTGCAGACGTTTTTGTTTAATAAGTCTTACACGTAACACACATGTGAAGCTTAAAGTAATAAATATGTACACCGAAAGCCTTAAACAAATTAGGTTTTAGTACTGTATGGGTGCTTGATTAGGTTGAGAATTGCATAAAGGAGGATTTTCGAGTTTAAGACCCCCAAAAGATTTAAGGGTACGTAAAGTCATGAACTTTGTATGAACTATGGATTCGTTTTCGCAACCCCTTCTCAATGAGATTTGTGTACGTTCATTCATGATTACATATATCAAACGAAATTTTTATACCAACTTTTATATACATAATATATATATATATATATATATTTGCGAAAAAGTGTATATAACCAAAAATTTCTTAACAGTCATGATTTCAATATTAAAACTAAAATCGTTTTTGCAAAATGCTATATCCAGTCTATACTTCTTTACGCCATGGAAACCTGGATTTTAAAAGTTCCTGATATTAACAAGCTCAAGGCATTTGAGTTATGGATTTTTAGTAGCATTCTTAAACTTCTATGGATGGATCGTGTTACAAATAATGAAGTTTCAACAAAAATGAGCTATGATTGCGAATTATTAGCAACTATAAAAAGATCGAAAACAGCCTACCTAGGACATATTATGAGAAATTCAAAATATGAGATACGCAAAATGATTATTCAGGGAAAAATCGAAGAGAAACGCGGTGTTGGTAGAAAAATAAATGAATGCGAAACATATTTTAGTGGACTCAAATACGAGAGATTGGTAGTCTCATAAATATAGTTAGATGCAGAGAGCGATATGCAGAAAAAATAAAAAATTTGTAATAGTATTTATCAAAAGCTAATTAAACAATGTAGTATTATGTTATATGATCACTAATATTCGAAATCGAATATATACATATATATATATATATATATATATACGTACATCTAAAAATCTTTATATCTAAACACTTTAAAATATTTTATAGTTTTGTACTTAACTAATTTTTCTAATTATTTGGAACGAAATGATTTAAAAAATATTTCACACTAATTTGTTGTAAAAATTTTCAACAGCAGTATAAATAGCACGTGGTTAGGTGAAGCTTATAAAATATAATAAAACTGTTTACAAGATCTTTACTGAAAGTAAATATGGAGGCAAGAAATATAATGTCAAAATAATTTAATATATTTTAAAAAATTATAAAATTCATTTTCGCAGGTATCTAAAAAGTTTCTATTACTTCTTGTAGTTTCAGCTACAATCGTAAATGTCGTTTCTGCTGGTCATATAACAATTATAGATCATGACGATGAAGAGATAATAAGCACTAAATTAAAGACAAGACTCCATCCAGTTCATTCTCCAAAACATGTGTCAGTAAAGTATAACACAGTGGTACCAAGTCCCGTGATTAAAACATAAATCAAGAGAAGTAATTTGCATGAAGAATGAGTTGAATGAATGAATGAATTGAATGATTGCGCGCCACAATGAACATATCTCCATAAAACGGTCTAAATATCCTTTTCAGAAGAATGGATGCTTGTACCTGATGTTTGAATTTGGGATTAAATGAATTATATAAGTGCAATTGCAAAATGATTTGTTTAAGCAATAAAGTCATAATGTATAATTCATCACTGCGAATTATAAACTATAAGCGTTGCATTTTATATATTTATTACATACAAAAGAAATTAAAAATATTAAGAATAAATTAATATAATTAGTCATCGCCTAAATAATTTCTCTTTTAGTCCTTCATTAGATCTTATCTAGACTTATTGGTTTTTATTTATTCCGATACTGTGTGATGTTGCCACACGTTGTGATGTTGCCACGTTAGATAGTTAATGAATAGAGTACTATTTGAAATTACTCTCCCATCCATATTGTTAAACATCGTTCTCTCCCAATTGACCTATCAACAATCTTTATAATCTGTAATCATTCTAAATGATCGAAATTTTATGCCGAATTAACACTACAATAAAACAAAATGTATTCAGTTGTATTAGGCAATTTTTAAATTTTGTAGGAGGATTTAATATTGCTCAATGGATGTGTTTGTTTAATATGCTATCATTTCATATCTTTAGAGCTCTTTATTTGTATTTTTAATATAGTTTGTAAACCATTTTGGATCTTAAGTTGTTCATCTAACCGCTTTGTTTGGCTTATATCATATGTCCGATTACATGTCCGCTCTTACCTATTACAAGCATTCTTAAAGATAGTATTCTATAGCATGCTATACCATGGTTAGAGTTCTTAAAATATTCCATTTTTTCTATGGAATATAATCCTTCTTGATTTTTGTACTAATATTTACATTTGAAATGGTATATTGAGATAATTTAAAAATTTAATTTAATAGAGTTGTTTATGTTAAGTTTTGATTTTAAATCAAAACTATTTGACTTAAAAATTGAAACTTGTACAGAAAATGCAAACAATGAAGTAAACTAAAATATATCAAACTGAAAACGAATTGATTAGTTTTGCATATTTCTAAACTATTGCTAATATTTCGATATATTATATAAACTTTTATTATATTTTGTTTCAACAAATTTTAAATTACTTTTTTTCTGTAAATACTAAAAATTTAATATATATGAAGTTACAATTTCATGAAACGATATTATGTTTACACCTTACCTTACCTCATCATACTTTTTATATTTTTGAAAAAAAGTGATATATTAGGTTTGTTAAGATTTTGTAAATTGATAAACTATAGCCACGTTTGTGAAAAATTTGATAAAATTAATTGTTTGCGTCTGCCTACTAACTTTTATGATTGTCCGTCTTTTAGTCTGAAAATAAGTATTTTTTTGAGTTTATCAAATAAACTTATTTGCAAATACTAATTGTGGGCAGATCAGATCTAGGCAGAATCTATGCAGATTAAACTTACAAATATATGAAATAAATTGGCAACATTACTTATTACACTAAATATAAATATCTGCAAAAATATAGCTTATATGTTTTACTACAAGGGAACCAGACACGGATATATTAAGTGATTATTATAATATGTCTATGAAATATATTTGTTTTGTAGAGTATATTTAAAGTCGACATAGCCTAACGTAACTTATATTGAGTTGCTGTTTATGTTTACGAATATTGGTAAGGTCCAAGATAAATACAAAAATATTTTTTTAGTAATTATTTATATGTATAGTATTTATGTATAATATAATATATATACAGTATTTGTTATTTTCTTTTTTATTTAGAATTTATATATATAAGTATATGTATCTATACATATATTTAAAAATTTTTATTTCTAAGGACTGCAAATGATTTTGTAGTTTTGTACTTAACTAATTTTTAGATTTCTAATATATCACGCATTTTTCTAATTATTTGGAACTAAATGATTTAAAAAATATTTCACACTAATTTGTTGTAAAAACTTTCAACAAAGTAAAGCATTTTCATGTGAAGCAGTATAAATAGTACGTGGTTAGGCGAAGCCTATAAAATATAACAAAACTGTCTACAAGATCTTTACTGAAAGTAAATATGGAGGCAAGAAATATAATGTCAATATAATTTAATATATTTTAAAAAATTATATAATTAATTTTCGCAGGCATCTAAAAAGTTTCTATTACTTCTTGTAGTTTCAGCTACAATCGTAAGCGTCGCTTCTGTTGGTCACATAACAATTATAGATCATGACGATGAAGTGATAACGAGCACTAAATCAAAGGCAACACCTCATTCAGTTCATTCTCCAAAAACTGTGACTGTAAAACATAACCCAGTGGTACCCAATCCCGTAATTAAAACACAAGTCAAGAGAAGTAATTTCAATGAAGACGTAGTTTTGGGTTATCTAAGGCAAAATACTTTCGAAATCAATGAGCTACAAAGAATGGCCTATTTGCAAAATAGACGGATATTTATTTTATCTAGAATAATTAGAGCATTACTGATAAATGCTATGCAGAAAACTTCAGAAGAACAACCACCACCGTTAAGAAGACCCAGAATGCAGTTGTTTATGTATTAATGTGATTTGATTTGAATTGTTAAAAATATAAATTACAATTTTATATCATTTATTTGGGTGACATGTATTAAGTGTGTGATTTTTTAGAGATCAACTATATTTCAAATATATATATACTATAAATTAATTTAAAGTGTTTGTAATTCATTAGCAGTTTAATTTTTTTAGAATTATGCACAATGTAATAACACGATGACACAATCATGCTATCTGAAGGCGATTATTTGGTGAATAATCGAATAACCAAAACATATTGCTTAAATTTAATATTTTGTCCATAACATTTTCCCATTTTTTAATCATGTAAATTTTTGAAGTTTTGATTGAAGAGTATCGCGATCCAGAGATCGATATTGTGAATGTTTTTAATTACAGTACTTTATATTTGATTTATTTTCAGCAGCGTACAACCAGAGATAAATAAATTATATGACATAGACGAGCAAAGTTTTGGCCTGAGACTAAGTCCTTTTTAAACTTTTTAGAGAAGATTTTATAATTCAGATTTTGTACATGAGAGTGATTTGGTATTATGTTTTATTAATGACTGTCCAGTCAGAGCTTTTTGAACGTTATAAATAAATAAATTGTATGCTTTCTTTCGACATCTATATTACCCAGTTATTAAATCAATGAATTAAATTAATGTCTAAAAAACCAATTTTGGTGTATTTATTCTTATTTTATATTAAATTACTTATTGACAGTAATTTGAATATATTATATATACACATGTAATGCATTTTAAAAACAAATAAATGTTACAAATTAACAGCGGCTGAACAGGAAATATTTTACTCTTCAAATAAAGAACTAAAAGTCAATTACTAAGGATTTCCTTATATCAGGTGGAGGTAGCACCATTTTTCGTAGGTTCATAAACTTTTATGCAATTAAGAAGTGATGCATTTAAATTATGGAATTCTTTTTAAAGAATTTTGTTGGCTAACAATATAATATTTAATGCTAATTTTTTCTTGCCGAGATTGATACGTCTTAACGCATGTTCTAATTTGACAGGCATGAGTTCTAAGCCTGGCACTTGCTTTCCAAATAAATTATATATGGACTATAAGGTTAGGTTTAGTTATACCGGCGATCCTTAGGGGATACACTTAGGCATATTGGTTCATTGTGTTACCGTGTATATAGGAATAACTCAATGTTTAATAGCACCTAGAATCTTTGGTGAAGCTCGAAAAGACTGTTTAGTGTCAGGTCTTGTAATTGATCAAGATTCTTAGAAAAAGGGACTCTTAAAGTGTTTAATCGCCCTCTTGCATGTGCTAGGCAAAGACTTTCCCACAACTGCGACAAGTAGGATTAAAAGGGAAATTTAGTTTTCCAGCACGGTTCCCTAGTTTGCAGTATCCTTACGGACCATAAACTAATTTTAAAAAAATCAAATATTTCCTAACACCACTTAGGATGAGTACTTGGCAATACTTGAAACAGTGTTGTATAGTCAGGTCAGCCAAATTTCAATATATTTACTAAATTTTTGTTCTTGTCTTTTCTTTACTATTCGAACTCTTCTAACTTTTAAGAGATTATTTACTGTTAAACTTTTTTTTACATAAAGTTTATTTAACATAGAACCATATTTATTAATGCATATAAGACTTATGATTGATAAAAGTACTTAAAGCATTTTTATACTTTTAAAGTACATATAATCTTAAGCAGGGTTTCTCAAACATCGGTGGTGTAATTAATGCTATTGGTCCATAAAATATAGTATCTTTTTAGTTTAACGTTATTATTTTTTGGAAAGATTTTAATATCGTTATCTGTAAAACACATTGAATAGCTTTCACATTTTGGGTTGAGAATTACTAATTCAAAGTGCAATTACGTTACATTGGACAACTGATCTTCTGACTCGTGTGAGGTAATTATTGTAATAGCTTTAAAATCTATTTATTAACGTTTCTTACAAGTACTTAACCAGCTTTTTTAATTATTTTTTTTTAATTTAAATTTTGTTTTTATGGAAGTTTTAGTGTTTATTGAAAAAACATATTGTTTATTTGTTTTGCTAATTGAAAATATTATTTTTACGATAGCCTTGAAATGTATTTTGCGCGTCTGATAAGAAATTAACAGTCAAAGTTATACACAAATCCAAAATTGTAGTTATAAAAATTTATAATATGAATATATTTGTTTTTTTTATATATTTGAAATAAAACTAAGAATAATATTATGCTTTGAAAAATATTGATATATTTGCTAAAGAATATTGTAGTATCTTATGAATGATAATAATATTTATTCAACTAATATTGTTAATTGTTTTTTTCTTTTTGTTGCCATTCAATACATAATTTGGTGTAGTAATGAGAAAACACAATTTGACAGAAGACAGAGACTTAAGATAAGATTAGAAAAAATTTGAAGCAGATATACTATATATAATAAGTTTTTCCTGTTTTTTTGATAAGAAAATGTCTGCAACGAAGAAGGTAAACATGTTTACAAATTGATTATAAACAAATAAATTCCTAAATAAACTGAAAATAACAAATAAATTGACTATACTTTAACACTGTCTTTTGGTGACCACGTACCATAGTACATATGTTTATGACTTACAGTGGCGGGAGTTCACACTAACCCATTTTCTGCTTCATATATTCTAAATTAATATTAAACATTTTTTATTTATATAAGTTCGATACAGGACACGAGTTCGATTTATGGTACTTGCAGACTCAAAAAATTCTTAACGAATAATTAAATACAAGAATTATTTCCAAGACCTCTGATGATTGGTATTTGACAATACTCGAAGCAGCTATATGGTCGGTCATCCACAAATTCAATTAATTAATATAACATAAAATGAATTTTTGTTTTAATTTTATAAATTGACATATTTAAATCCAAAAGTTTGATTTGTTAACATCGGATGTATACCATGTTGTTCAAGCTTTTTTAGCTAATTTTTTTTTGTTTAATTTATATACCAACAGCTTCACAATATTAACTTTAAGGTTCCAATTGTTTTTTATATCTCAGGCTGTAAGTAGTTTCTTTTTTAATGACATTCAGATACATAATATATAATTTCAATACGTATACTCAAAATATATTAATAATGCATTTATATTAAGTATATTATATTGTATTTTATTATATACTACGAAAAATAAATTTTGTTATATATAAACATCATTATTTTTTTTTTTATAGTCATATTCAAGCAGAGCAGTTTATGTTTGATAGTAATTCTTATCCCAGTTGAACTGTGAAGCTGGGACTTCATTATTTAATGAATAGATTTTATCTTGTAGGGTATTGCTATATTGTGTTTAAATTTTGTGGCTTAATTGTTAGACTATAACTCAATGCATGTTATATCTGGTTAATATTTCATATATTTTATCAAGTAGAGTATAGTATAATATAATATATTCTAACTTATTTTTTAATAGAGTCAAATATGCTCCTCGGGGAGGCATGCAGATCTGAAATCAATTATTACTTAGTCTGATGAAGTGATAAACAATACTCCAGTCGAGGCGTAGAGAGGGGTTATGATAATACCTCGCAATTGATAGAGAGTAAAAGCGCTCAAGTGCCCTGACTCAATTAGCCCCAACATAATAATAAAACTTAAATTGAAATGTGTGTAGTGAAGAATTTTTTTTTCTTTTCATTTGATATTCATATATTATAAGTACATATTATTATGTAAAGAGGAAAATTAATAAGCGTTGATAAACAATTTTAAAAGTTTTTAATCACGCCACTGGAATATCTTATGATATGATTATTATGTGTCACAGCGAGTTTTGTAAACAACAATTATAATGTGTAAATATTATTTTGAGAAAAATATTGAAATAAAATTAAAAAAAAAAATTTATTTACATAATTTATTACATCAAACTGAGAAAAGAATTTCTAAAATAGTTTATGTAAATAAGCTAAAATTATTTGAAATACGGAAATACAGTACATTTTTTACTTTGAAATTAAATGAACTAATTTTAAATTCAACTGCATATCAGAATATTATATATTTATTTAAAATGTTTAAAGTAATTTTGTCTCAACACTTCTATATAAAAATTTAGTAAATATTTTTATAATTTAGCATATTTTTTGTGTCAGTTGTGTGAATGATGTGATTGTGAGTAAATTATTTTATAGAGTAGTATATTCATCTGACAGATATTTGTGCAAATATTTGTGTTCCATAACTAATGTGTATATAATTTTAAACATATTTTAAATAATTTTATAAAATTTCAGATGACTTGTATGTTTTAAATAAATTACCTAACTAAATAAAAAATATGAATAAAATGATTCATTATTAAGCGGATTTAATTTTCTCTTTCGCACTACCTACTAAAATAATATGTGATCAATATTCGTTCAAAAAGAACTGTTATTGTTTGTAGGTCATCATCGTTTTTGTTTTAAATCAAGTTTTTTGCTTGTAAATAGATTTAACTTCAAGTCCACTAAAGTTGCACTGAAGTAATTCAAATAGATTTAAAAAATGAACTTACGAGGGTCACTTTGAGCCTAGGCAACACTGATTGCTGTCAGGTGTCATCTGATGTTTCTATATAAAAGATTGATATGATTAAATATAACCTACCTTAGATTCTTTGTCAAAAGAGCGTTATTTGTGTTATTTACAGTGAGTACAGCTTTCGACGTGGATTACGAGGATCAAGACAAGAGTGCATCGATCAACTTACTTTCACATTTGGCGATGAAGCTTCATCCTTTGCCACTGTAAAACGCTGGTATTATGATTTTATTCGTGGCCGCAGTTTGCTCGTGGACCTTTCTCACAGCTAAATGATTATGCAATATTTTATATATGCTGGTGGAACTAATGTCTATTTTGCATTACTCGTATCAGATTATGCACAGCATCGATGTTTCCTGGCACAATAACTGATTTTGGACGAACTTCGTCCAAACGTCATATATTACATAATCATATATATAATATATTGCATAGCATATATAAAATATTGCATTTGATGCTCATTTGATCTCAAAAATATGCTCCTGTCGATTGGTTCACAGAAATGCTCAAAAATTACTATGGCGGTGCTTCAAAAAACGTATACGACTATAAGAT